TGCCTCATTTTGAAGATCATTTTTTTAATATTCTGTCTCTTGTGGGTCCCTCACCTATAGGCCACGAGAGCTATAACATTTATTGAGTAGTTGTCCTACGACTCAACCTTGTGGAACCCCACAAAATGATTTGTTTTGACGTATCATTATCTATTGAGACAACAAACTCTGACATTAAGATGATAGAAAAAAATATGCATTTGAGTGATCGAGTAGCTCCATCCTCAACAAATTACTTCCACACGCATGGAACGGAAGATCTAAAAAGAATTGAGCAATGCTCTGTCACATACACGAACACAGAGTTCCCTCTTTGTATGCACAGAGTTTCTGATGGTCTGTCTCTTCCTCTCGTACACGTCCATGTACACATGAATATACAAGGCAAATCCCTGTACTTGTGTGAACTCGTTTATCTTGTTCTTGTCTTTTCCCTAAATGCAAATACTTACAAATACACACATGCACTTTGCATCTGGATGACACAAGCATTTCCTTGGCAACTTGGGGACTGGAGGGCAAGGAAGGAAGTGTGAATCTGCAGCAGATGATGGATGTGAGGGGAGATCCCCTATTTGTAGAGCAAAGGCAGAGATTTGCTGTCCTGACGTCTCCTGTCGGAAACAGAGCAACTCAGAGCACAGTGATTGACGCAGCACTGCGTGGCAACATGAGCAGCGTCTGGAAACCTGGAAAAAGACTTCTCTTAAAACTCATGGCTGGTTGTTTATGATTGTGTTAGAAGTGGGTGTAGGAGTGCTGAAGAGGCTGCAGCCTCTGGAGTGGGACTGGTTCATCAGCCAGATCCATTCACTAATTCATGCATCATATATTCATCCTTTGCAACCATATTTTAGGCATGCTTTTTTTCTTCTTTCTCATTATATTCTTCTGTAGCCATCATCTATCACGACGCATGAATAGATACACTGATGGATGAGGCTGATAAAAGAGATGTCATTCATTCTCCCACAATTTACCATCCATCACTCTATATAATGTATTCTTTATCTATCCAAACAGTATGTACAATCTTTATTTTTCACTCACTCATTCTTTCATCTATACATTTATTGTTGAAATTGAAGTGGTCAAGTTCTCCTTGAATGTTGTTTTCTCTTTTCTCTGCACTCTGTGAGTGTGCATAACACTCTCATTTTCTGTTTTTGCTATGGAACTATTTATTGATTATCTTATTTTCCTTTTATATCCGTAGTTGGTAAGGGCGCAGCAACATGGCTATTGTGCGCTTCCCAGACATATTCAATTCTACTGACATAGACTATTTTTATAATAGCATTCAAAGAAAGCCGGTAAAATACAGCTGACATTCCTACCTACATTGCCGCTGATGTTGTAGGGTTTATAATTAGTGTCCTTCGAGTTACAAGGCCACTGATAAAGTCGAATGGTTACTAAATTGATGCTCAAAGCACGTATAGTATTGAGGGCCTCATTACTGCCAACCCTGAGCCAAGCATGTGTATATGTAAATATGTTTTAGCATGTTTCTTTCTGAGAAATGTCTCTATGCGTGCCCCCATCCCCTCATTGTGGCAGTTATGCTGGTCTGTCTGTTCAGTGAATCCTAGCAACAACTTCTGCCTTCCACTGCTGCTGGGGTGTACAGCAGGATCTGCGCCCCAGCATTTAGCCCCTTTGACCCAGAATGCGTCTTCATCTTCCCGCAGAGTTTCTCCCCTCTGTTCCACTGAGCTGATAGCAGCGCTGAGCTGAGACCAAGTTGAAGCTCTTGGAGTCAATAAGACAGTACAGTGAAGTCCCAGGGTAAAATCCCCAGGCCCGCTGATCGAGGAGAGGAGAAACTCCTGTCTACCTACTGTAATTGCCTGACTGTTTGAGTTTCTTCCTGAATCTGTTACAGTCTGTCTATCATTGTAACTACTGTTTTGCTGACTGTGTTACTGTTTCCCTTTCAAGCTGGCTTGTTTTTCGGCACGTTATGTGTACAGTGTATTTTGCTGCCTGAGAGGAATAGAATATCTGTATTAATGTATTTTTTGTTGTGTTCTGATTGCAAAAGTTTGATAATGTAGTCCTCCAACACTAAAGTTATTTTTGTCCTACATTTCTCTTCATTAAACAATCCACACACCACTTATAAATGAACTCTCATAAACTCATTAATATGGCTTTTTTTCTGATCATTGGTTTGCTATTTGCCTCCCAGTCTTAATCAAAGTCATCCCTACACTGCCATAAAGGGAACAAATACCACAACCGGCACTTACCATCAAAATAATTGCCTGCATACATTTGTTCTGCCTCCTTGAATTGTACATTGTTTTAATCCAACGGTCATACATCCTGATATTGAAGATTGCCTTTCATACACTCATTCAGAGACGGCAGGAGTTGCTCTCAGGACGAAGTGAGAGGGGAGGGGGTAGTATGGAGAGACCAGCTTTAGCTACGTGAACAAACTAATTAAGATATTTTCTCTACCCACTAAACAATCAGCAACAAAGATTTAACCATTGATCTCCCCCTGGCCACCAACTGAACACCCAGCAAATGTGCATGCCAAGCATTTACTTGTAATGAAAACCAACGCTTGCACAAGTGCTGCTTGTTGTTGTGAGTGTTATGCACTATATTTTTGTTAATTATTCAAATATTGGTGACAGAGGCCATGGGAAATGTTGTAACTGTCCTGGGAAAAGCACCAGCAAGGAGCCAATTAAACAGTTTTCCAGCATTTTGAACTTGGTCATGTCACACTGCACTTTAGTGTGTGTACTGTACTGTAAGTGTGTGTATGTGTGTGCAGATCCAAATGTATAATATGTGCGAGGAAGCATTACAAGATGGTGGAACCCCTTTGGATGGTGTTGAGGGTCACTTGTTGTGACAGTGTTGAACAGAGAGTGTTTTTTTTGCCAGTCTGTTTATACAATGTGTTTGAGAGTGTGAATGCTGTTCCCGTCCAGCTGGAATTAGTCAAAACACCTTGTCTCACACATTTAATAATCCTGGCAATTGTTTTGGTAGAGTTGGTACCTAAATTCAACTTTTTTGTTTGCATACCCAGATTAGATTCATGAAAAACGGTGGTTGTATCCACCAATGAGAATAAAGTCGTAACTCAGGTGAAAAGGAAATGTGAAATTGTAGCCTTTTTTAATAATTGTCCAGTCGATATCTATCAGGTTTGGATCCTTTTAAACTGCCTCTACATGTATCCATGTTACATTTTTCATCATGGTGTCAAAGCTATCAAGCAATAGGCAAGCAATGTGTTTTATTTGAAATGCTGGTCCTGGTGATGCTTTAGCTACGACATGTTCTTTATTCATACATGATTACAACAAATGCATATACATTTGAATATGTCTCGGATATGCACCTTAACATGCAGTGCTCCGATTACAGACCCATGAGCCAAACAAAGGTGAATACCCAGGAGGAAGTATTTGTATCTTGCTTAACCAGGGTTGATATGTCCTGTGGGCATTTTGTCATAACAACTGCTGTGCCTTGTGTGTTGGTTTGTCTATTGCCCAACTTAGCCAGCAGCATCTTATTGTGCAAACAATTAGAATTTGAGACACGACCTCCTCCTAGCCGAGCTATATCCCTCCTGTGGTGAAAGGCAGGATTAATTTATTTCCCCAACTCCCACCACACATGCCGAAAGATAGAGAAGGAGAGCTGAGGTTGGGTGCTTGTGTAGGTAAAACCACAACCTATTATCCAAAAATAATCATTAGATCAGGTCTTTGGGGGACGATATTGTATTTGGTTGTTGCAATGTGGTGCTTGCAGGGCGTCCCGTGTATGATTATGTGTCTTGTCAGTTTCAGCCCTGTGTCAGTAATCTGTTTGTAGGGCTTTCTTTCCTGCCTTCCGTCTCTCTGTGGCTTTTTCTCGCCCTTATTCGTCTTTCTTTCTGTTTTTTCTCACATAAAAGTCAGGATTAGGCATTTTCTAAAATCCTGCATAACAATAATCGGAACCACCCTCCGTATCCAATAATTCAACAGACTGTGTGTGTGTGTGACAAAATGAATAAAACCACTGCAATCATTGGTTGGACAAGGTGATGACAGGACACATGATTCTTTCTCCACCACCTTCATGAAATATAAAATTACAAACTTGTAAGGGCTGCTGTCCCTTCCAGATGGATTTTGTTGTTGTAGGCTTGATTTTGTTGTTGTAGTGAGGCATAATTGAGCTGCTCCCAGTGTGGGAATAGAAGGATGCAAAAACAAAAAATGGTAATATGACACAGCGTTGTCCTGCCTGCCTGACCCCTGCAACAACCTGCATTTGTTGTATATGTCTCAAGATAAGCTGTTCCAACCAAAACCCAAATCCTGCTCTTGCCTCAAGTCAAACTGTATTTTCACACTAGGAGAAATGTGAGTTGCACCAAGAACCAAAAAAAAAATGAACATAATGTACAATCTTAACGGTTAAGATGCAGTAGCTGAATGCTGAAAACATGTAGGGGCCAAGTTCACATGTGCAAAATCAGCAAACTATTGCTGAGCACACAAAGGACACGGTGTATATGGTTTTGGGAAGTCTGCATCTTCAGCCTGAAAGTAGAAGCTCCAATGATCTCTACAGGGGAGGGGGGTGATCAGGACATGGCAATATGGCCTGAACCAATCTTAGGTCTTGCCTATATTAGAGGTCAGAGAGCTGCAGCTGACTAACCCCAATAACTGTGCTGCTCACTTTGAAAAGCCGAGCAAGCCTGTTCTTATTTGCCAGATTCAGGTTCCCGAGCCATACCACAATACATGATGGAAAGAAAAGGAAAGGGTGTATTTCCAATATTGGTAAAGTGTAGTGTCTGGACATGTCAGTTGTTAATTACAAAATGATGCTGGGGAGGAACGCTTGTAATTAAAAATCACATCAGGAGCCTGGTAGCAGGATTGCTGAATTAGGTGCATTGCCCATCAGAGAAAGTCCCCAGGAAGCCCTTTGTGTATCGTCATTGAATGTGTGCTCTCTTTTCTCCACAGAGATCCTGAGTGGAGGCGTGTATGTTGACAAGAACAAGTTCCTGTGTCATGCGGACACAATCCATTGGCAGGACATTGTAAAAAACCCTCGGATACATGCTGTGGTGGTGCCCACCAACAGTAGTGTCTCGTGTAAGTAACCCAAACAATACAAGTGTAAAAGATATGTTTTAATTTCAACCTTTCGATTGTTTAACTGAGAGCATTCACACTTTTACTCATTCACACCTGGAAGCTAGTTGTGGCAGAGTACCCTGCTAATGAGGCTGGCTCATCACTGCATATGTGATGACTCATTTGTATTTAAAGCATAGTCAGCTCTGTCTGCAGGGAACTCAAACTTAGAGGATTTTGAGCAGGCCAAAAGTTAGGTTTTAAGAAATATGGTTAGGCTTTCAGGCATTTCAAAAAGCAGATGGGACTGTAAAATGTGTACAAAGAAGACCCCATATTTTAAACTGCTCCATTGACTGATGTGCGCAGCAAAACATTCTCATCACAAAAGCACTCCTTGACCCCATTCTGTCACTTTACTTACCATAACCATCGCATCATGATGCTCACTCATGTCATAATAAGGCCCCACTCTGGCCAGCTGGAAGACACTTTATTAAATGTTGAGAATTATAAAGGGATTTATTTGGATGCAAAAGCATATTTAATCTGTAAGGGGGGGGGGGGGGTGCCAGTGAGTGAGTGAAGTAAAGATTCATTAAATCTCCTCATCTGACCCTTTTCTATTCAGTCACTGACTTAAGATCTTAACACACATAGCTTCTGTTATTCATTTAGTGCTCAAGCTGTTTGACATTTAAATCCGTTGTTGTTGTTTTTCTTCTCTTTTTTTAAAAGCTGTCTCGTCTTATACCTCTACAACAGAACATTACACATTCAAAGGCCTAATCATTATGGAAGAAAAAAAGGCAGTCTCTGCCATGGCCTTGGATTCCCTCTCACTTGCTGAGGGCTTCACATGCAGATTACCAGCTCCAAGCATTGATATTCTGCTCAATCAACCTCCTCCCTGCAGCCTGTTAGCCCTCGATCGACCCCTTACTCCTGTGCAAGTCTTCTACTCTGCTTCAAGATCAAGGGTCTCCAAACCTGAAATCCACAATTGAGAACATAATCTACATGTCATTCTATGGGAAGACACAATAATTACTTATTTGTGCTGCAGTTGTTGTTTATTTTAGTTGTCTTTTTCAAAAACAGCACAGTAATTTTAAAATCTACGCCCCGTTGATTCAGTTGAAGACAAGCCATCTGTCTATTACCCCATACTGGCCTTTGCATGGCAGCATTTTCCGACATTTTAACCTTCGGCGGCTGTTTTAAGAAAGCTGTAAAAGATGATGGTGCAGTAAGAGGGGTGGGACAGGTTTATTCTAGGTCACTGATCATTTATAAGTTGAGATAGTGAAGACCTTGGACAGTAAATTAAAACTCTTTGTCTTGACTTTTTGCCGGGTGCCAGGAGTAGAGGAGAACAGAGTTATAACAGAGTACAGAAGAGGTTCGGCGCACTTGACAATGTCAGACAACCACTTATCACTGGCTGACATTTGTACTATTATCCTGTTTGTGTGCCGCTTTTCATACAGTCAAGGCTGTCGACATCTCTTTCTCAACCATTACCAACGTGCTAGTTTGAGAGGAAGTGACTGGAGGAGCAGAAAAAAGAAGAGGGGCTGACTGTAAAAAGGCAAAAAGAGACAGGGATAGACATTAAGTAAAAGAGAGCCACAGAATAGAGATGAATCAGCGAGTGGTGGATAGTGGATGAAAGAGATTAAATGTGTGATGTAGAGGGGCACAGACGAGGAGGAAGAAGAGGGCAGAAGATGGAGAGGCTCGTGTTGGAGAATAGAGTCAGTATTGGTGCTAATAGCTCTCATCTGGAGAGGCTGATGGACGGAGGACAGCACTTCTGCACTTAGCCAGGCTCACTTCCCTCACAGTCAATTACCAGACAGTCAATTAAGTCCTCCAAAAAAACAGAAAGGCACTGGCTGAAGCTCTGAGGGTATGATGCTGCTTTCTGCTGCTGATTCCTGCTGCTTTACTGCTTTTATCTCAACCTGATGTGTGCTTGTTTCATGCTGGGGAGATTTAAAGTGGACCAGCATAAAGGAACGTCTTTGTCAAGGTTATTCAAGGTTGTAAGGCTGGGACTGCATGTACAAAATGGTACTGGTCGTCGCCGAATTACATAATCTTCATTGTAAAATGCAAAAACGGAAAAAATCTGTCTGTCTGGATGCCTGTCATCCGATCACACTTGGCGGGTATATTGCTGAGGACCAAAGAAAGCGCAGTGTAGAGTGTGAGCTATTGAGATCCAATGGTGATATTAATTAGAAGTGTGCTGTGTACAAACGTCATTGTTTACTGAGAGGGGACACCAGTTAGCAGCTAAAGGAAGTAGAAAGTACATTTTATTTGGGCAAATAGTATGCTACTTTAGGTTCAGCTCGTTCTTTGATGGGTACATTCTAGCATTGCTTGGGAATGCAACTATGTGTATTGCTCAGGACCCAGGGAGGCGCAATATAGCTGTTCAATGAGGGTTCTCAACCTCAACAAGCAAAACAGAACGCCCAGCAATCAGGCCTATTCTAAATAGGTACATTTTGAACAAGCACTGCACTTGGAATAGGAATCCTTGAAACAAAATTCAGCTAAAGAAAAAGTTGAAAACATTATATTTGAATATAATCAATGAATAGCTATTATCAACATCATCATCGTTATATAGTTAACTACACAGCCGTCCTGTGAAGTATTAAAACACCTACATCTCTTGCAGATTGCGTTAATTATGACAGATTTTAATTATAATAATGATCAAGCACACAAAATATCCTTGAAATGCACTTATTTGGAAGTCTTGCCTGACAAGAAAAACACTTCAAGTTAATATAATCATGTTGCTTTTAAAATACACATATTTTAAAGTTGACTCAAAGAAACACCTACAGCTTCACTCACTTTTTGGATCAATTTGGGCTTCAACGTAGTGCTTGAGGGCACACTGACTCCAGACTAACAGCCTCCAGCCTATTTTTAGGTTCAGCTAATATGGATTTCTGAAGGTTGATACTGATCATATTTTGCGATTAAGTAACCATTTGAAATGCCAATCATCTCTTTCCCTCAACTTGTGTGCAGGTCAAAAGTGCAATCGTTCCTGTAATGGTCGTTGCTGGGGACCCAAGGAGGATCAGTGTCAGAGCTGTAAGTATATATTTGTTTTTAATATATGAATATAAATATAAATATAAACAGTATGTGAGAAACTTGTTTGCTTCCATAAAAGCATATTAACTAAACTGTGTCTAATGTACCTGTGATGTGTGAAAGATTGAAATCAGGAAATGTAAGTAAGAAGTTGAAGAATGGCCTTCAGAAAGCATATCAACATAGCAACTGTTGATATGCTTTCTACTTTTTTTTAATGGTTTTTAGACAAATTGACTCAGAAAATCATGGATGCCCAAACTAAAATATGTGTTTCTTTGTAAATGTATGTTACTTTCATATTGAACCACATCAAATCAACTGGTACTAAATATAACTGAATTAGACTGATATGATGATCTCTCAAACCCAAAAGGACAAGATCAACTAAAATGATGAAGAAACACATAATTCATGAGAAGATCATCTGTATATTTGGCAAAGGTCTAACTATAACTGCACAATTCATGAGGAAAGGATTTTAATGACGTTATAATCCAGCAGAAAGTCTCTTACAGTCAATGGTACACAAACATGGAATGGTTCTAAATGAATTATTGTGCTATTGCAGACGCAGCACTAAGTCACGCTTGTATTGATTGATCGGCATCAGCTGCAATATGCTTCAAAATGATCTGGCCATTCATGCAAAGCAATCTGTTTACATGACCAACATTTTGGGGGATTTAAACATTGCCTGTACTTATGTTGTCCTTGTTTTTTCCTAAGCATGCAATTATAAGCATTTTTTCAATTAAATTGTAACCCTTGATTGCAGACTGACATTTATAGAACAATTATAATTCAAAAACGGAGAGGAGACTTGACACATTGTTGTCATTTCCCATTATCATGAAGAATAATCAATACCAATAATAACATTTTCAGTAATACAAGCCTTGTTTAAGTGTGGTAAAGTATTGCTGAAGGTATGTGGTCCCAGTTTATGATCCGTTACTAATCAAATTCATGGTGATAAAAGTGCACTTTACAAGGTATGTAGCAGATTTCAGACCTGTAAAAAGGCCAGCTCTGAAAAAGGATTCACAATCTGTAGAAATACCACATCTTGAAACACACACAGTAAAGTGCACACACACACATGTGCATCTCAACTCCAGAAACTTTCAACAGACCCCCAACACATCTTCAACAGACCCTCCTGCTGGGACCTCCCACCTTTCATACTAACTAATGGAATGATGCACTACTGACATCAGTGGGGAGGTGGGCTGCATGTTATTCCCTCTCCTTCAGTCATCTTTCTGAGGCTCTCAAGTCTCTGTCAGTCTCTCTCACTTGAGTTGCTGTCTTTCTCTGCCTGTTTTATATTTCTGTTTCTCTCCCTCTCACCTGTTTTCAGGACACTGTGTAACACATACATGCATACACACACACACACACACACACACACACACACACACACACACACACACACACACACACACACACACACACACACAGCCAAAGCCAAACCAATAAGGAAACACAGCTGTGGGCTACACACCACCAGTTGGGGTAAACCAAAAGTATACCGACTTGAAATTATAAACAAATTATAATTTAGCTTTTGCGCCTCCAGCTCTCAACAGTTCCTTAACTTCACCAAATAAAAGGTTGCTTAATACTGATCTTAAACACTTTTTACAATTATAACAATTTTGATTTTCTGACATGACACCACTACTGTATGTTAGGATATGTTAGGTTTAGGCACAAATCTTACGGAGTCTCCATGGTTTAAGAAGAATGACTTGATGAAGGATAAAGATTTTGGTCAAGGTTCAAATGAACAAAATCTTAATGTAAATAGTAAGTGGGTTTCCTTGTGTGAAAATGCAAACACTACCAAGACATTTCCCCAAAAGGTTCAGTTTAGTTTAGTTTATTGGTTTAGTTGTCAGGGACCATGTACAAGAAGAACATACATCTCAAAGAGATACGATTATTTGTACCAGATAATAGCAGTATGCTAATTTCCATCTGCAGCCACTAGGCAGGTCCACACAAAATACAGCACAATTCAATTACAAGATTAACACATACAGTATGATATCACAACATATTTCATACATGCACGCTAAAACTAATTCACATCACATCAAATGTAAATGTCTATCTTCAAAATGTTAAGACTAGATATACAAACTCATTTAAATAAAATAGGTAAAACGATATGAATCGCAGAAAGCTAAACTAATGTGTGCATGGTTGGTTATTTACCAATCAGCTTTAGCTTTTAGTTTATTCGGAATATTGTTCCATTATTTTATTGCTCTGTATGAGAAAGAGGCATGCTGGAGTCGACATTGCCACAAGACGTTACTCTCAGGCAAATGCAACAATTTCCACAAATGACTGATGCTGGTGTTATCTTTTATTGTTGTATACTCAAACCCAGGAATGTAAAGCAAAAACATAAAACAATTTGGCCCAACTCTCTACAAATCTTAATTGAGTTTATTAGTCAATCAAAATATTACCCTGTAAACTAAAAAGCATGCAAACGTGACCCAAACCATGCTGTCATTGGCTTAGGGAATGTTGTGTAAATTGTTGACAGTAACCTTTCTTAAAAGTAAGAAATCTAAGCTTTAATGACAATTGTAAACAACATGAATAGATGGTAAATGTACTACGTGTACTACTACGACTACTACTTCCATTTTTATCAGGAAAATATGTTACGCTGTACTGTACCACACACTACAATGTTACAACCCTAACTACAGCATGTACGTGCTTCTAGCAGACAAAGAAGCATTTGCTTTTGCACACATTTTCAGTCTCTCCATTAAGTACTATTTGTTTCTCTCCGCCCTCTCCTAGTTGATTGTGCTTCCCTCACCATACATTATTTCTCCCTTGTTTCCATCACTCTGTGCACAGACCACTTCATCTATGCCTTCCAACCCTGGCATGTCTCATTTTATTTGTTCTGCGGTCTCGATCTCATTAAGATAATGAGGAATGAACTGTTTGACCTGTTAACAACACCTCACAAACCCCCCTGATAAGCCCCTGGCCTCGTCCGTCTGCCTCCTTTATCTGCCCATCTTCATCCAAAAGCGGATGTCATAATTCATCCCACTGCTTCTCTTTCTACCTCGCAACCTTTAATTGTATTGTTCTGAAATACATGGAATGAATACGTGTGGAAATGTCAAAGGAAGAATTACTTCCAATCTGCTTTTTTTGACATTTTCATGAATACTTGTTCAACTGTCTCAAAATCAACAATAAACAGCAGCTTTTGGTGTCAGCCCCTCAGGAGGAAAATGAATGAAGAGCAAATCTGGAGAGCAGTCTCAGAATTGCTATGGGTTAAATAAAGCAAAGCCTGAAATAACTCAAGGGCTCTAGGAAAATCCTTTCTTTTTAACATTTACTTGAAAGCTTTCAAGAATGTAAAAAATATGAATGTGATGGATCTTTGTCACAGCAGTTCTCATCATATCTAATAACCTAAATGATGGCATTGTTTGCCTGAGCTGATTGTTCAAGTTGCGTCACTGACACCTGTGCACTTCCTGCAAGTCAAAACATCAACTTTGAGAAGGCTCAGTCCGTATGAAAGAACCAACTAATGGTCAGCATTTCTATCAGCATATTAAGAAATTAAATAATGGAATTTAAATGTTATGGTGATTTGTTTTTTGTCTCTTAAAATATATCTGTTGAATAAATATTTCAAAAACATCTAAAGAAGCTCATCAAACCCCGGCTGCAGTATAATCCACTTTTCCACTCTCCATCTTATGTTTATCCAAAATACACTAGCTCAAGGCAAGGCAAGGCAAGGCAAGTTTATTTATATAGCACTTTCCAACACAAGGCAATTCAAAGCTCAGCCAAAACTTGGCACACTGTTTTTAATTGAATACTTCTAGCAATCACTGGGATCTATTTTACCATTGTTACCGATAATAAACCACTGCAAAAAGGAAACTTTATGGAATTTCTCTTGCATTGAAATTCAATGCATTTCACCAAACAACATCTGGTTCAATAGTTACTTTACTACCAATATATGTGAGTCAAATGTGTGTAGAATATAGACAAATGCTACAATAAAAGAAATTCCATCATTATTTAAAAACTCTTTTGGAAACTAGTTGTGAAAAAGCACAATTTATGTTATGGTAATGAAAACTGAGAAGCAGTGGTTCCTGTGACTGATGCCGCTGTCCACAGCCTGTTCAAATGAAAGCTTCTAGGCATATTTTATGAGATGGATTCCTTCTGTATTTGTTGTCACCAGCCTTTTTTTGTTCTCCTTTTTTTCTGAAAGTGTATGTTTAAAGCCACATGTATCAACAGTGTTGCGTTTCTCTCTTGGCAAGGTCATTTGTTTGACAAAGTGTCTTTTGAGTGAAGTAGGCCATTTCATTTTAGCTCAGGCACTGTTAATGGAATGCCACTGATGGTACGTACCCGTAAGGTGTGTGTGTGTGTGTGTGTGTGTGTGTGTGTGTGTGTGTGTGTGTGTGTGTGTGTGTGTGTGTGTGGTGTGTGTGTGTGTGTGTGTGTGTGTGTGTGTGTGTGTGTGTGTGTGTGTGTGTGTGTGTGTGTGTGTGTGTGTGTGTGTGTGTGTGTGTGTGTGTGTGTGTGTGTGTGTGTGTGTGTGTGTGTGTGTGTGTGTGGTGTGTGTGGTTGTCTGTCAGTTGTATCCATCATTGAGATAGTATCTTGTCACTGGAATGCCCAAAGGGAAACTCGGCAGACATAAAAACACAAATGCATCCACTTTCACACGCCAGCATTAGGTTTTTAATGTTGTATTCTAACATTGTTCTTTTACCCAATAAATGTAACTTTTGTAATGTCAGAACTTGTATCTCTGACTAATTGTACCTTTTACATTTATCAGTAAATATGAAACGCTAAATGAACTACGCACTTTTGTGTCTTATTTGATTGTATATACTCAAGGCAAGAAAATCAGAAAGGAAAGGAAACCTAAAAAACAGATCCAGATTTTTTAGGAAGAAAGGTATCGGATCGAAGTTTATACTATTAATTATGCAACACATGATGGCTCCTTGAGTGACTAGCCAGACAATGGTGAGAAAATACAAGATATGGCAATGCCTCTATCCTTTTATTTTACAATATAGACAGTATGTAGATTTCTAATGAGTCCCTTCAATTCTTTACATTTTTATACCACCTATAGCGCTATTGTATTCAGGCAGAATGCCCTTTTGGATACCCCTATGTGTAAGTAAATATTATTAAGGGCCCTCTAGGGAGCTTTTTCACTAGAAAAATGTGATGACGTGACTTGTTTGCTGCCCTTTATGCTAGAAAACACTCGATGTGCCAGTGGCCCACTGCATGCAGCTGTTGCTCTTCTTTTTTATTTCACTGCCAAGTGGCAAATGTGTTCAACTTTTTACAGTGTTAATGTCATTGGTTTATCCATCCCCAATAGTTAAAGTGAGATTTCCCTGCTCTCTTTTATAGATTCCCCTGCTGACACTTAATGTGTGTGTTTCAATCTGTCTTTATCTGTGAAATGACAGACCTACAGAATATGCATTTACATATGGCTGTCAAGAAGCGAGGCACACAGGCATACGGCAGCCCATATGACTGTGACAGCCATGCAAAGAAAGGGTGGACAGATGCTCACCATGAAGGGAAGACAGCACACAGAGTCAGATAGGAATCACTATGTCTCTGTCAAATCCAGCTAGAGGCCCTCCGAAGAGCATTCAGGGAGACGAACACATGATTGAAGATAGCTAGTAGGTGGCAGGGATACTTCAACTTCAATTAAACTCACCCCACACGCAAACAAACACATGCATACATTTTACTATGTTATGTAGCTGTTTATCTAGTAGGTAGGTGTGGAAATTATGGTTGTGCGTAGACATTTTATATAGAAGTTTCTCTGAATTAATTTAATTTCAATTCAGGTAATTAGCCTGACCTACATGACACTAATTTAATACATATTGCTCGAGCAAAAGGTAGAAATGTAATCTCAAACATTCATAACAATCCTACAGTATACGGAAAAATTAACTGTTTCTTGTGTCATTCTTTATTCAATAATATTGCCCATTCTTTTTTTAAGACTAACAGTGAGCCACACAAGTTATATGTAATGTTTACTTGTTTTATGATATGTGTGTCCTCTCTTTCTCTCCGTCTTTTCTACATCTGTCACTCCACAGTAACTAAGACAGTGTGTGCTGAGCAGTGTGATGGTCGTTGCTTCGGTCCCTATGTTAGTGACTGCTGCCATCGTGAGTGTGCGGGGGGCTGCTATGGACCAAAATACACAGACTGCTTTGTAAGTTGAACACACAAACACACACACATACGCATACATACTTAAAACATGTTGACATGTTAATATAATTTCATACAAACCCCACAAAAAATGTTGAATCATTTTGTACTTCACATTTCTTTTCTCAAACCTGTCACTTTTTACTAGTGACTTTTAGCTAGCTACAATTCATACTACTTTTGCAATAAGATTTATTCTATCAAGATGGCATTTTTTGATGTGTGTTACAATTCCAGTTGGATGGCAAATACCAATAAATTACATTTCAATTTGGTCTTGAGTGGCATTGTTAAATACAGACTTCACCAGCCTCCCCTCCATTCTGGCACTTTGGCGTGTTTTATGTTTAACCCTCTGCATGTTAAACTTGTAAATCATTGCCCATTACTTATGGAGCTTAACTGCCCGACTTTGGAATGGCAAGTTCTTTATTTTTTTTCTTAATTCTTCATACTTCATGTTGTATTATACCCACAAAGTTAAGTAGCTCTCTGTAGGTACATTTTTGGTTCAACTGTGTCAATACACTTTGTTCACATTTTCCCACATTTTCCAAACACAAGTTAAAGGCCCAGGTACCTGACAGGAAAGGCGAATCACACTTATCCCAATGGTAATTTCATTGGGTGCACGCAAATTATTCTCTCGCTGCACCATTTAATAATGTCTCCTCTGAGCACTCTGAGGCAACTCTGAGGAAATTCTCAACTCAAAGCTGGTATAGTGAGATTAATGGCTGCTTCCTCTAATGCATTTTAGGCACAGGAGTTTATGTTTTTGCTATGTATTATGTAAAGGCACATATCCAACTGTCATTAACCCCCTCTATTGGAAGCATAAAGGGATAAGTGAGAGAATGTTTCATTTGATAAAATTACCCTTTAAGTTAAGTAAAGTAAAGAATCTAAATACTTGTACCAACACTGTGTCTGCTCTGTGTGTATGCACTTGCAGGCATGCACCAACTTCAATGACAGTGGGGCGTGTGTGACCCAGTGCCCCCAGCCCTTTGTCTACAACCCCACCACCTTCCAGCTGGAATACAGCTCCAGAGCAAAGTACACCTACGGAGCCTTCTGTGTCAAGAAGTGTCCTCGTAAGTCTACCAGAACACACACAGAAAAAAACAACAACAATACTTTACCTTTGATGACCTTATTATAAAGTCATTAACCCATGGCTGACCTAAAACACAACATTTTTGTTTAAAAAATATATATATATCCACTGCTTATTTTCCTTATGTTCTCAAGTCTCCATTTCCTTCTGCAAGAAAACACTGTTTAATGCATTTTGAGGTAACAATTCACTGATTGCTCAATACATTATTTTAGTGATTGAAGGTGAACAGAGAAACATGAGTTTCTGATGATGTCCCCCACTAAGTTGAAAACAAAGGGTTAATGCTAATTCCAATATTTATTTATTTTTAGAAAGAAAGAAATGTTTATAAAGCTTTCTTCTAATGGTAAGGCTTAATAGTTTTCCCTTAGCAAATACATCATATAACACAAATAACACATTCAAAATAGGAAATTGAATCCCACCCATTACTGCTGTCCCTGAGGATTAGAGAAAAGTTGATTACTTGATACATAAAGCCTGCGATACAAAAAAATGGAATGTTTAAAATGATTGTGTATCACAGCATCTGTCAAAATAAGCCATTATAATCCTATTTGCAATAATAATGCCAGTACAATATTTAGCTCTTATCAAAGATTATAATGCACATGCATTCATGCGCAGGTAAATAGATACAGTAGAGCAAAGCCTCCTTTAGTGTCAATTTGCAAGTGATTGCTTCTATGTTTAAACATAAGCCAAGAAAACATTGGATAGCTATGACTCCCCACCTCAAACAGTGTTTCCCTGCATAGAGAGAAGATGACAAATCTACAAATTGGAAAAAAAATGTAGGGAAAGAAGATTGTAAAGTGTGTACCTCTAGCACATGTACAGAAACCCATCCAACACTTTCATCCAAAATCTCCCATTCAGACTGAAAACTGATGAATGTGGTTTTTTACAGGTGTATTTAAAGCTCATGACTGTGTGTTCATGATGACCACAAAGTGGTGGGACTTAGTCTAGATCATTATGTTTGGCAGAGCGCCCAAGTGTATCCCTACATCAGTGAGTAGGCCAACCAGCCTGGAGAAAAGTGGGATTTGTGCTTAAAAAGATTGTTACTATACCAAATGCAGTATAATTCAACAATTTATGTTTCTTTTTTGGTATTGTCCATATGTGACGTACTCTATAGTGTCATATGTGGATGTTTTTGGACCTTCCAGAGCCTACTGACACATATTTATATTTGCAAATAATGTGTATTGGTCTTCCAAACAAAGAGACTTGAAACCTGGTCCAAGTAAACAAAACTCAAAACACTAGACACAAACATTGTTCTTTACCAGAGCATCACAAATGACTTCAGGGTATTTCAATAATGAATACTTATTCAAAACAGGACTTTATAAAACAACATACATTTCATTAAATGATTACATTGGCATGCTAAAAACATGAACGTGTTACCCTTCAATGTAATCCATGTGGAGTCAGAAAAGCCTCTTTCAGACCAAGTGAATGAAAGTGACTTTCAAAACTTTTTTATGTGATGGTATTTACTCGTGTGACAGCAGCCATTGTACTTGACATTTACAGTGAATTGTTTTTCAGATAACTTTGTGGTGGACCAAAGCTCCTGTGTGAGAGCGTGCCCCAGTAACAAGATGGAGGTGGAGGATAACCGCATTAAGATATGCATTCCTTGTACCGACATCTGCCCGAAAGGTAAACCACACATAGATGTTTAAGAATGTTATCTGTAATTAAGTTCCTATTTGTTTAGCCGTATATAAAGTTGTTAAATGAAATAACTTGGCGTTTGCAAGATTATTTCCACATCAATGCTGAGACACAATGAACAATGGGGAAATACAGGGTGCATAGGAGATGTAGTTATAATTCAAATGTCACACAACTGCATCATCCAGGGACATGACATCATTGTGCATTGAAACATGCAAGGAGCAACTTTTGGTGAACCTTGGTCATGTGATTAATTTGAATAATTGTTTTTAAAAACCTGTTTCCAGATTGATCGTGACTTTAAGGCGTTGACAGCCCTCGTCTTTATTTTGCTGCACATTACATGCATGCACTTTGTCTATCCCCCTGTGTGTCGCAGCATGTGATGGCATTGGTACAGCCAGTCTACAGACGGCTCAAACAGTCGACTCCAGCAACATCGACCAGTTTGTGAACTGCACCAAAATCAACGGCAACCTGGTGTTCCTCATCACTGGGATCAAAGGGTGAGACTTAAAAACATTTAGCTCATAAGAATGATGAAAGAGTGGGTGCAAAAGTGGAACTGTGATCATTGAGAGTAAGAAGAGTGCTGTTAAATGTATATACTCATAAATGAATGAATGTAAAGAAATGTGGCTAGTGTAGAGGGTGACCCTAAAGCAAACGTGTTTATATAAAAATGAGGATAGATATACATTATTTATGCATGCAAAAAATCATTTCATTTTAGCAAAGCAAGAAAATGAATAATTCATAATGCACATAGTCTGTGAAACATCCTGTTCTGACATGATCCTTTTCTCTAAATTGTCTATCTCTGGGTGAGCACACCTACTTTGTCATTGCTGTGATCAAGAGGCACATTGCTTATCTATACAGTGTGAAATATAGATGCTATTATCTTTCATTGTGTTGTTTGCTGTGTTCTAATCTCCCATTATCATTTGTCAGGGATGTGTATCACAACATTGAAGCTTTGGACCCAGAAAAACTAAATGTATTCCGCACCGTACGGGAGATCACCGGTGAGTAATATCATTGCACAGCATGCCTCTGCACATGCATATGAATGAAATAGCAAACAAAATAATGGACCCTTCCAATAATCCCTTCTCTTGCACTTTTTTGTCAGATGAAGTGTGCATATACAGTAGGTGGTGCTTGACTGTGTATCTGTGTGTGTTAGTTTGCTCAAGTCTGCCTCACCCCCCAACCCCCTGAGACTGTCCACACCAAGGAGAGACATCGCAGCATAAGATGAATATCAGATGAGTCTTTCAATCTCCTCTGTCTCTCTGCTGCTTCTCCCTCGGGGAGTCCCTAGCCTTGAGTCCCACAGTCCCAGCTCTCCCTTCACGCACCATGAAGAAAAGATCCAGGACATGTGGTGTGCATCGTTAATCCTCCAGCTCCCCTGTCATTTCTATAGCTGGACATTTGACAATGGCATCTGAAAGAAACATTAGAGGTTTCTCAATACTCTAATTTCCCCTCCTCGACTCCTATCCTCGACTCCTATCCTCGAGACTTAGTCCCGCCCACAGGAGATGCGAGCGGAGGACTGAGGAGGGGAGCCGAGGAGAGAGGAGGGGAAGCAGCAGGCGGTTAGAGAAATGAGAACTCCTCTCCTCTGAGCGGTCATTTTAAAGAGACGTCCATTAATGATGACAGGAGGCACAGCGGCCCTCTGTCTGATGGACAGATGTGTTCATGACAATTTATATATTTACTTTTAATTATTTGACAGTGCAGTATAATGAGACAATAACAGGCTACAGATGCGGACATATATTTATATAAATATATACAATTTCAGAAACAAACAAGTATGAGAGCTCTCTCATAATAACGTAACACAATCAGAGACTGGATATATCTCCCCCCTCTCTCTCTGGTCGCTGAAATGAGGAATTGAAATTACGGGCCAAAAGTTACAAGTATTAAAAGTAAGCATAGGACACCAAACCAACTGAGACCCGTCTGTCCGCCGCATCTACACACTGTACAACACACACACTACACACTGTACCACACACCTACAGCTCCTAAAGCATAATCAGGCTACAGCCGTTGTGTATTTTATTATGTGAAGCAATAAATGGTCTTAGAAAAATATTGACTCTTTGTTTGTAGTTATCTACTAAACTAAAGCATACAAATACAGAGAGTAATGTAGGCCTGTTATACTGAGTGAGATATTTTATACACACAGCTCTGCTTTCTGCACGGACCTCACAGCTGTTCTCACTAGGGATCGACCGATATGGCTTTTTCAAGGCCGATACCGATTATTAGTAATCAAGGAGACCGATAACCGATATTTGGAACCAATGTATACAGGTCTGAGTCTTCGTACTCCTCGAAGAAAACGTTTCATCAGGGGGTGACTGAACAACGTCCCAACCCCCGAAACCCACGTGACAAGATGATATGGCAGCAGCATATACCTTGATTGTGTTGAAGGCCAAATTCCTGTCCAACAACAGCTGGAGGAATGATAGCACGTGAGGCAGGGGGCACGTAATGGGGTCCAGGCTTCTTTCTACACACCAACGCTGGAACGCTGTCCACTTGGCTGTGTAGGACGCTCTGGTAGACGCGGCCCTGGCTCCCTGAATGGTACGTACAACATCTTGAGAGAGGCCCAACCCCTCTAAGTGTTCCCGTTCAGGGGCCATGCTCATAAGTGCTGGCCTATCACTGGATGACTGCTGATCGCTCCCTCCACCTGCGAGAGAGCGTCCCCACGCCATGGAATTGTCCATGGCCTGCCTGACAGCGTACGCTGTAGGCATGGAAACCAGGAAGCGCCCGTGCGCTCCGGTGCAATTAGGATCACTGACAGTCGCTCCTCCTGCACTCGGTCCAGGGACCGAGGGATCAGCGGAACTGGTGGGAAAGCGTACAACGGTTCCCTGGGCCATGGACGATGTGCGAACGCGTCCACCCCCAGGGGGGGGTGGTCCTGCGCTTTCAGGGAGGAGAACCAGAGGGCGCATTGCGCGTTCCCGCGTGCGGCGAACATCCACCTCTGCTCTCCCGAACCGGCTCCAAACCTGGGAGATCAGCTCGGGATGGAGGCTCCAGTCCCCCTGGCGAGGACCTCCTCTGGACATGAGGTCTGCCCCTCTGTTCAATTCGCCGGGAACATACATTGCTCTGATGGAGAGCAAGTGTGCGCGCGCCCAGATCAACAGCCGCCTGGCTGTGTTCAGAAGCTGCGCTGAGCGTACTCCGCCCTGGCGATTGATGTAGGCTGCCGCGGCTCTGTTGTCTGTGTGAATCAACACATGCTGATTCTGCAGCAACGGGGCAAAATTCTGAATTACTGTCCGTACGGAGATAAATTCCAGCACATTTATGTGGAGGGACATGTGAGCCGGCCACTGTCCCCCCACTGCCTGCGACATACACGTTCCTCCCCACCCTGAGAGAGATGCGTCTGTGAACACTGAGATGTGTGATGTAACTCTGCCCAGGGCCACACCCGCTGACAGGACATGGGGACTTTTCCTATAGGTTAAGTCTGAACCCACGGACAGAGGGATGGCCACCATGCGCCTCTTCTGTCGCACGGGGTCGATGCGTAGGCGAATAAACCACCTCTGGAGTCTCCTCATGTGAAGGAGACCCAGGGGAATCACCACGTGACCGGCTGCCATCATGCCAAGCAGCTGCATCACGGAGAGGGCTGTCACCACGCTGCGGGGTGTGACGCGTCGAAGGAGAGCTGTCAGTGCCTCCACTCTCTGCTGTGAGAGTCGCGCTCTCATGCGGGCTGAGTTTAATTCCACACCCAGGTAAATAATACTCTGGGAGGGAAGAGGGCAGCTCTTTTTCCAGTTTTTTATGAAACCCAGCTTTGACAGATGCGATATGAGTTGTACCGTCTGTAAAGCCACTTCCTCCGGGAGTAATACCCCTGATTTTCTTCCCCTTGAGGAACCCTGGAAATAGCCTCTTTCAACAGGAGTTCCTGCAGCTCTGACTGGAGCGCAAGACACTGTTCCTGGGATGACAGGAGTGTTTCCTGTATCCCGTTGAACTGTGGGGGCGGAGAGTTGAACTGCCGGGTGTACCCTCTGCTGATCAGCCTGCTCATCCATCTGTCCATCAGACACACGCGCTGCCACTCTGAGAGCGGGCGCACATGCTCGAGATGTGTTGTGGTCGTCATGGCGACGAGCCATGACGGAGCCCTCGCCGCCACTGCCCGTGAAGCAACCCAAGGTGGGACTAGAGCGAAAGGGCTGTGAGGAAGCCTCCACATGCTGCGTTTCACTCCGACTCTCATCATGAGGCGCGTACACGCTCAGGGGATGAGTGGAGGTGTGTGCAGTGACGTCCACATGAGGCGTTATAACGGCGCTCATGGGTTCATTGTGACCGTGTGTAGGTGGCGTATCTCGGACAGAGGAATGCCACGAGCTCTGCGGTTTAATAACCGATAGGTTAAAACCAGCAGGCTTCTGCAGCGAGCCCTGCTGCCTAATCAACAGATTGGTGGCAGCTGGCTTAGTTACCGAACTCTGCAGTTTATTAACCGATAGATTAAAAACTGCAGGCTTTTGTAACGAGCCCTGTTGGCTATTGACCGATAGGTTATAGGCAGCCGGCTTACACAGAGTGGGGGATATGTGAGACACATTTGATACTGATGACTCAGACAAAAGGTTGGAAAATGAGCTTTTTTTATTTTCCTCACAATCCCCCGCAACACGTCAAAAACGGCTCTGTTTCCTCTGAGGCTCTCGTGGAGCAGACGAAGAGCGGGAATGCCTCACTCCCCGTTGACCTACCGTTGGCGGGGGCGCGGAGACGCGGGGCGGAGCCCCTTCCGCCGCCGACGGGCGAGTCTGACGCAGCGGCTGCGGTTGCTGTGGCGTCTCTCCGCCTGCCGCTGTGGCCGGGTTGGACGCTGCGGGCGTTGGTGCCGCTGTGACCGCCCAGCAGCCGCCTGCTGCAGCCAGAGGTGGCGCTGAATCTGCATCATCCACGCAGCGATCCTTGCCTGGGAGACAGCAACGGACGCGCACAGCGTGAGCGCCGTGCTGGCCGCCTTGCTGATCTCCTCCGCCTCATCCGCAGCCAAGGTGGTGGACCGCTCCACCAGCGTCACCACCGAGTTGGAGAGCAGCGCGATGTTGTTCGCCACCGCCGCCTGAAAAGCACACTGATGCGCCCGGTCAGCCTGGCGGGCGACATACTGGTCCCTGGGGAGGCCAACGTAGGGCGCCGTCCGGCGATCATGTTTGCCTGTCTAACCCCAAAGAACGCCGTCAGGCTCGGCTCCAGAGAAGGGGTGATTGGGAAACCATCATCCGTGAACCCCTCCACCTTGGTGAAGGGAACAAATGTGGACACATGTGGAGCATGCGACCTGCTGGCTGAGAGCCGCGTACGCGTGCTCTGGCCCCAGGAAGGATTCGCACATTGTGTGCTGGTCGTAGCTCATGATGTATCCTGAGCCACATGAGGGAGAATCTCGAACACAGTTGTTGCTCATGGTTGACTCTGTAAATGAAGTGTCTCTGCGCTTCAGTAACGTGGTTTGCTGAAGAAAAGAGGGGGCAAATTGTCGGCAGTGGCGTTTTCTCCTGGAAGCCAAGGGAAGCCAGGCTTCCCCTGTTTTTTCGGAGTGTAGTTATAATTTTAATAAATAAATAAAAACACTTCGTTTAGTTTCGGAAATTCTTTGTTGTGTGTTGCTGCCGGCCCGTCTCTCCCCATTCTCATTGAGTATTTTACAAAGAATGAAACAGCGCCCCTCTAGATGTTATGGTGAAACAGTAGATTGCACTCACTGTTGCGAGAGGAGGCCAGCCGAAATTGGCTTCCCCTGGTGAAAAAAATTGAGAGATTGACCAATCAAATGAGGCTCATGTGATGCCCCTGCCAACCTGTGATTAGTCAGGGCCATGCCAAGGGAAGCAAGAGGCGGCCGGCTTCCCTTGCCTCACAATCCAATCAAATCGCATCAATTTAGTGGTGCAGTGACGCATCCTGAAACCCGGAAGTAAGCTGC